AATTACATAACAGTGACAGCATTACATGCAGCATTACAGTGGCAGCATGTCAGTGGTATCACGTCAGTGACACTACGTCCTTGATATCACGTCAGTGATGAAATAACAATGGCAGCATTACAGCCCCGCATTAAAGTGACATTGTCAATGACAATATGTCAATGACACCACGACCGTTACAGTGAGGCACTGACAAATTTAACGAGCCAAACTGTGATTATATTATCATGAAACAATTGCCAACACTAACAGAATCGCTGAATCTACGTGCAACACTTCATAACAAACGATCTTACAAGTCATATTTAAACAAGTTAATTAAAAAAGTCTAGTGACATTTGTGCGCAATTTCCTTATGTTATCTAAAAATAGCTCTGACGTATAATGTTGGGGTGCGTTCAAGCTAGAAGAACAATCGGTTTGTAGGTGTTTATGTAATTTTAAAATTTGTGACCGAACGAGAGAATATTTTTGAAAACTTTCTTCGGCAATATTGTTCTAAATTATGACAGGAATCGATTGGTACATGTTTCAAGTCGCTAAGTGGTCTGGTTGCCGAGATATGGGCCAAAAACTGCTTTTTTTCGAGATTTTTTGGCTTTTCTGGGAAATCCATGAAAGAAACCCGGAATTTTTATGGCCTATGTTCATCCTCGTAACTTGCTTAACATAATTGCTTTTGGAACTAGTCATCGATATTGCTTCGTTGAGGAGGAGATACGACTTAAAGCTGCGGACACACATTCATCCATCCATCCATCCATCCATCCAGAAATGACGGGTTAATAAACGCAATTCTCCAGAATGGAAATTGCGCTAAAAACTTCAAAAGCAACACTAACTTGTTGAATACTATCTAACATCGCCAAAACAAAATCCCGGTGAGCAATGCTCAGGCCTTACCGGACTTTACCGGACATTATCGAACGACGGCGAACACAGTAGAGAAAAATTTAGACCCTACCGAAATTCACCGAACAATATTGAAACTTTACCGGACATTATCGAACGACGGCGAACACAGTAGAGAAAAATTTAGACACTACCGAAATTCACCGAACAATATTGAAACTTTACCGGACATTATCGAACGACGGCGAACACAGTAGAGAACAATTTAGACCCTACCGAAATTCACCGAACAATATTGAAACTTTACCGGACATTATCGAACGACGGCGAACACAGTAGAGAAAAATTTAGACACTACCGAAATTCACCGAACAACGCCGAACACATCTGATCAAAATAAACAAAGTATTAATACATTATTATTGAACTGGGTATCACACACTTATTTCAATCCCTGTTTTAAGTTGTTGAACAAAAACCCACCAATTTAAGCTATAAATAACAACAAGTCGTTTACCTTAATCAAAATAAATGGCTTCCTCTGGCCTAATTAAGGTGTGTTCACTGATTACACGAGATAAACACGGCGGTCTTCAAGAGCCAGGTCAGTCTGTAGGTGCCGAATGTCCTGACCAGGCTGTCCGGAACTCACAGGCCGGACATTTGTCTTGGTGATTGATGGAAGATTCCAGAAATCGGGGGACGGAAATCTTTTTTATGTCCCTCGGCCAGCGGAACAACACGATAAGAAAAGTCTTTTTATCTCCCTTTTTAGAACACTTTATTTTTACAAGTTAAGAAAAGTCGTTTCTGTCTCTGCTCAAAGGATACTGTCTTTATTTTTTTTTTACTTTCTCGTATATACGAAGTATAGAGAAAGTCTTGTAATCGTGCAAAAAAAAAAAAATCGAGATTTTTACAAATCTCGACGTTTTACATCTCACTGATACGGAAAAGCATAATTTTGCAATCTTGTCCGTATGTCTGTGTGTCTGTCTGTGTGACTGTGTGTGTGTGTGTGTAAACACGATTACTTCAGTACCGTTACAGCTAGGTTGCTGAAATTTCATATATATGTATTTTATCAAAATCGTAGATCCGTATCAACTTTTGAGCGATTTCCGATAACCGGAAGTGGTACTTTTTCTACTTTGAATTTTTCAAAAGCCTATAACTTGAGTACTATTTCAGATAGATAAATGAAATTTCACATGTAAGTAAAAGATCTAATTCTCTACCTTCTATAAAATTTTGAGTAATTTTCGTTGACCGGAAGTACTAATTTAAGCTATTTCCGATTTCTCAAAAAACGCATGTAAATTTATCAAGTACTAATAATGTTGCGCACTATTATGCACATCTTTATTTAGCGTTCACTTGGTGTGCAATTCTTTTTTCTACGAGGTTTTATTCTATTTTAAAAAGTTTAAGTATTTAAAGTGGATTAAAAATCATGTCTATATCCCGAGTTGCCATTCCCCGTAGTGTTATATTAGAATATTCGAGAAAGTTTAGGGGAGATCACTCCCGGTTTATGTTAAAAATGTCTTCATTTGTAGCCGTTCTTAGATTCTACATGCAAGTACATGATTTTAAAATATATCAACCATCTGGTATAAATATTAAACACAAAAAAGTCAAATTATAAGGGATGAAAAAAACTGTATACAAAAAAAGAGATTTTATCAAATGAACTTAGCTTTGTTTAAATTATAGTTTTTAACAATTAATCCCATTACATCAATTTTTAGCTAAGTTTAAATATTGTTATTTTCAATTAATGTAAGTTAATTAATGTAGGAAAGTGCGTCTGGTAAAACTTTCAAAATGCTCCAAATGTTTACACAAAAAAAAACCTGCGTCAGCCGGGAATCGAACCCGGATCGACTGCTTGGAAGGCAACCATGCTAACCTTTACACCACCGACGCTCACGATTTCATTGATCACAGTAAATTACTCATTTTAATTTAGCAATGTCTAAACCTGTCAGGGCAATTACATTACCAAATGAAGTAATTTTTTTTTTCTGAAAATAGAATCATGTTTTATAATCACCTATTTAGTAAAACAAAAAAAAACTTTTGCGGTCAATTTTTTTCCCCTAAAGCAAATGAGAATTAATTAACAACTTTTACGCGAACGACACTTGGGATTATCCTAATGCCTAATCTAATTAAAAAGTAATTAGGGGATGGGGGTGGGGCTATCTCTTTCGAGCAACATTACTGTAGGCTTCTTATCTAGAAAATCTAGCATTTACAATCTAGGCTCAATGTCTCTTTCATTTGAAGAATTACAAATAGCCTACTAGGAAACCTGTGAGAGATACAGACACCCCCAAGAGATACAATTAGGCCTACTAAGACATCAGTAGGCATAAAGAGGGACACAACTGAAATTTTAACAAAATACTTAAACTATAATAACATCGTTTAAGTATTTTGTTAACTTTTCAGTATTGTTACTCTATATGCCTACAACTATAATAACATCATTGTAATGGTCTTGTGTTCGTTGAAAAACATCAGATCAGTCAATCGTCGCTCTCACACATACCCTGTGCCTACTATTGCTCGGATGCGCTTATGCCTCTGTTGCTCATTGCTCCGATGCCCTTATGCCTCTGTTGCTCATTGCTCCGATGCCCTTATGCCTATGTTGCTCATTGCTCCGATGCCCTTATGCCCCTGTCCGTTGCTCATTGCACAAAAATGATGACAAACTACGAGAGTTACTGGATGATACACATACAGTCTCATTCATACATGGAACTTAGTCGCGATTGTCAAGATTGTTTGGCCTTACCAGATGATATGAGAGGCAATCCACACCCTCCCCCCCCCCCCCCCCCCCAGTAATATTGGACTATACCCCTTACATAAAGTTTATTCTGAAACATAAACAATATAACATATCTGGATATCTTGATATTTAGAATTAGAGTTAGATTATGTGGAATCAACAAACGCTTTCCTACATATATATATATATATATATATATATATATATATATATATATATATATATATATATATATATATATATATATATATATATATATATATATATATATATATATATATATATGTATATATATGTATATATATGTATATATATATATATATATATATATATATATATATATATATATATATATATATATATATATATATATATATATATATATATATATATATATATACATATGTATATATATATATACATATATATCCATATGTATATATATATATATATATATATATATATATATATATATATATATAATCTGTATAAAAATTGACGGGAAGCTGGTAACTTTTGTTCACCCTCCCCCCAACCATAGCCACCTCTCTGCTTTCAAACCTGCTGCACTAAAACATGTAGGTCTAGTCGTCGTTTGGTAACTAAGGGTCTTTAACACTTGTATTATCTCTCACAGCAGTAGTCCAGTATTCATACAGCAGTAAAAAACTATCTCTAACTAGACGGTCGGTTTAAGTATCGGTTGTCGCCCGGAGTTCCATCTCAAACAGGCGAGATGTGGGTGGGAGTGCACGATAAAATTACGTAGAATTTGAATTTTTTAAAAAAAAGGAACTGGGTGGGAAAAGGAGGTCTACTTATGTGCACTTTCAGTTTTAAGATGTGTTCTTTTTATTTTTTTTGGTGTTGAATTTAGTTTCAATAAACTTTCAAAATAGACTGCAGCTAAGTTTGTGTTTTTTTTTAAATTTTGTGAACTATATGGAACACTTAATTAGCCAAATATTATTCAAGTAATTTTTTAAACAACACATATATTAGTACTTTTATGACTTAGAACCCTCAAATTACCATTTTAATTTTTTTTAAGCTATGCCAAATATTCCTTAACGCAAAGCTAAATTAATCCTCCTTATGTGCAAGTAGGTTGTTAACGGCAAATGTAAATTTTGCTGTAAGGGAGGTTACCCATTTATTTTTAAAAACGCTAAAGAAACGGAAATCGTCTCCCTTTTATAAATTAATACTAACATTTAAAAATTCAACAGCTTTCGTTTTGCATTCACAAATCCTTTTATCACTTCAAGACAGAGATATATCAAAATATGCCAATACAGTAAAAAAAATTACCATAAGACAAAAACAGTACAAGAAAACTGTCTTTATTTAGTCATAGAAAAATATACATGTGCTATTCTATAAACGAAGCTAGGACTTTTTCCCTTTCTTGTGCTTTTGTTTTCCCATTGCTCCTTCTTCAAGCTCGTTGAGAAACTTTGTACACTTCCCCATTAGTATTTTGATAGCCTCAGATACAAGAACATCAGGAGGTAGAATACCAGTAGACTCAACAGAAACTGTGAGATAAATAGGTTGGGTTAGGAACAAAAGAGGATAAAATATATACAGTCTGACTTTCTCTTTCTCTCTCTCTCTTTGTATATATATATATATATATATATATATATATATATATATATATATATATATATATATATATATATATATATATATATATATATATATATATATATATATATATATATATAAATGTATATATACACAAATATTTACCCACACAATATATGTCTGTATTTATTATTATAATGCTGTTCTTGAACAGAAGCATTAAAAACATTGTTTATTTAAGTTGTCATATCTATTTATAATTATATTGTTTAAATTAAATTTTCATGAATGAATATGCTATTTAACCATTAATGTCCCATTCATTCTACCAAAACTCCACCCATGACGGCCCAATGTAAGGAGCATAACTCTGTATGATCAAGTGAATAGTTTCACAAAATATTTGTTTTTGTCTAAATGAAATTGAAAATTAAGATAAAAACTACTGCTTAATGTTGGGAATAAACCTGGCTTTCCAACAGTATTAAATAGAATATATTATATTCAGTAAAAGTACAGTATAAAAATAAAAATGTCGGAGAAAATTCAAAACAGGTCATTTCCGGTAGTCAACTTTATTTATTTTTGTTCAAACAACTATGCATCGAATTTAACAGTTAAATATCAATTTGGTTATGTTTAAGATATATAATTCATAAAATATATGCCTAGATACGTTTAGAGGCATTATTTTATTTTATTTTTAATATTAAATCTACTAAAAAGAGGACAGATGAGTCTAAAATTTCGAGATAGAAAGAAACTATTATTTTTTATCTTTCAAAAGCGCCATTGAAATTAGAAGACCGGAAAAGGATGCTGAAACTATCCGACTTCCTGTTTAGTTAAACATTAGGATTTGTAGGCTGAATTTTAATGAAACAAATTTAATTTTTCTATGCGTATTGTAAGCGGGCGGCAGCGGGCGTTACGGGACATTAACGGTGTCGGGCGGCAGCGGGCGTTACGGGACATTAATGGTTAAGCTTATGTGTAATTTGTTGCCATGACAACTTACAAATAAAATGGTCCCTGACTTTCTGAAGTACCACATGCTCTTTAAGATCCTCATGTCTGAACACATTGCGGCTGCAGGTGTCTAAGCGTGGATTCTTCACTTTAGCAACTCTTCTACCTATAGTCAAGAATACAACTAACTAGTGCCAACACCATACATTATCATTTAGCAACTCTTCTACCTAATACATGGGGTAAATTTTATAAAATCAGGCATACAACAAACAAATGCAAACACCATAAATTATCATTTAGCAACTCTTCTACCTAATACATGGGGTAAATTTTATAAAATCAGGCATACAACAAACAAATGCAAACACTATAAATTATCATTTAGCAACTCTTCTACCTAATACATGGGGCAAATTTTATAAAGTCAGGCATACAACAAACAAATGCAAACATTATAAAAGAATCAATTTGGGCTATTAATTCCATCCTCAGGCCATTCATATCAGACTTAACCTTTAAGCTAAATATTTTTAACCTTTACCAAAACTGAATTTTTTTCTTATTTTTTTACAAATAACTAGATTTTAAAAATATTCTAGAACTCTTTAAAATTTCAGCTCTCTTTCAACCTCAACACTATTATGAAGAGTGATATAAGCTCAATATTCAGGAAATGCAAATGTAAAATAGTTTAAATTATCACTGAAGAGGCAAGGGCTGGTGGGATAAAGAGAGCCGCTCTAATCCGGGGTCCAAAAAAGAATAAGGGAGAGGGAATATCTCAAAATTTAAAGAACATTCTGCTTGTCTTTAAAACAATCTTTTTAAAGTACTTTTCTTAATGAACATGTTTCTAATGAACATATTTCTAGTGTTGAGGCAACTCACCATCCTTTGTTTCTTTGAGCTCAATCACCCCTGGAGAAAAGGACTTCTGTAATTTCTCTGCCTGTTCATCATAGAAGTCTTTCAGTAGACGTATCTCAGGCAGCAGCCTGTATGATGCTGTAGCTGAAAGAAAATTAGCAAAACTAAAAATTCAAGTACAAATATTTTTTTAAACAAATTGGCAAAAGCCCGTGATTTGCCATAAACTCTATGATCTATTTACTCAAGTATTGGAATAAAAACTAATCATTAAAATAAAGCGATATTGTTAACTTACCAACTGGTGAGAATTTTGCATGATCTTTTCCTATGCCTTTAACACAATATAGATCCAAGTCAAGCTCCTGATAGAAAAAGATACATACATTGTTATATCACTATTATGGAATCAGCAGCCTACTAAAATCAAGGGTGTATAAAAAGCACATATACAGTGACAACATGTTATTTTTTGTTGTTTCTACTAATGATGAATTATTATTTCTACAAATGACAAAACATTATATTTTAATTTTTTTTTTCTACCAATGATGAATTATCATAACTTAGAAGGTATTCAAACAGATAGATATGAACTTACATGGCCAGGCCGCATTGTTGTAATCAATATGTCTTCATGGACTGGCCGGATGCCTTTACTTTTCTGGATAAGATGAAAAACTTGTGTCAAGTTATGAAAATGATAATGGTTGTGCTTTTAACCCCAAGTATAAACCATAAGAAATGTTGTTCCCACTTACCAAGTGATCTTGTCCTGACAAGGGCACCCATTCCATATCTTTTGTATAAACTAGAAGGAACAAAAATGTACCAGTCAAGGAAAAGTGGAAAATAATTCTGCCTTTTCCTCAGGAAGTTGAGAATTTGCTACTATTTAAAATGATATCTTCCCGTGTTAGCCCAATAGCCCTTAAATACCACTTCTCTTGTGCTCTTAAGTAAAAACCCTTCAACACTCATATACCCCATGAAATAAAAGAGTGAGTCTCTTAGTTTTGTCAATCTAACAGCTGTACATTATCTAGAGATCAACATCTATCGAATTTTCACAACTAATTTGCTGACTATTTCTTTTTTTGGATGCAACCAAATGATCATCAGAACCAGTTTCTAAATCACTTTTAGAAATCTATTTTAATCACTTTTATAAATATACTTTTGTCAACCTGAAATATTATATTTATTTCTTATATTACAAATGAACCACTGCTAGTTAAAAAAAAACACTAATTCAGTTTAAGTACTGTTCTTTTTACAATCAAGTAAACAAAGTTACCTTTGTGGTTCTTGTATAGAATATCTGGATCTGTGGCATCTGAAACCTGATTGTTTCTTGTACATTTGACCTTTAGCTTGAAATGGATTGTGTCTTCACTGGTTGGTTCTTCTGACTCTGTATGTTTTAATGTACATTAGTGAAAAGGTTTTTAAGTAAACAAGACTTAAAATGGTATTCACAATATAGCAGGTATTGTATACACTGGTATGAGTTATAATAAATAATCAAGCAATTTTATATTATTTTATAATAATTTAATAGACTGTATCATTTAATTTACTTCATTATTATGTAAGACTATGTAAGCAACTTAAGTTACAACAATAACTAAAACTAAAGCTGATAAACCTCTGAAAAGTTACTGTTGAATTACTAAAGAAAAACAAACCTTTTGGCTTGTATTCAAACAGTCTGGGATCTGCTTTGATAGGGATGAGACCAAGTCGATGTGCCAGAACCTCATCTTGAATGATGGAGGTGTTGTTCCAAATACCTACGGTTTCTATTGCCATGGTAGGAACCTAATTCAAAGGGAGATCATAGCACTCAAGACACAACATAAATTATGTTAACAAGTCTAAACATTTAACTGATCTTTTGCACATGCAAACCAGTTATACATTTTTTTTAATACAATAAACTTTTGTTATATGCCCTGTAAAGGTGGTTAGATAATCAATTTATAATGATTAAAATGTCATTTAATAGAATTAACTGTAATTATTTTAAATCAATTCCTAACAACAACCAAAAAATGATAACAGCAAAATAAAACTGCAATCCAATAAGTAAAAAAATAACCTCAGCCAGAAGAATTCTCCTGATTGCATTAGCTATTGCAGCATCAACACCAACCATATCAAATTCCATGTCACTCCCGCTAATGCTGATGATGTCTACATTAAAAGTCTGAAAATTAGAGGTACATTTTCAATTTATTAATAAAATAAGAGTTGTAAAATAAGATCTAATAAAATAAGAAGACAGATAAAAAGAATGAATTTTTCATTAATGATAAGATGTGTCTATCCATTATAACAAGCTGGTAAGTGAATATTCACACAAAAATTTAAAAAAAGCAAATAAAAATATGATTACATTAAGTTTAAAATATTAAAAAAAAATTCTTATTTAAGTAAAATACTTACTTCTTCAAACTTTGCTTGGCACCAAGCATCATCAATGCCAACATATGTGCCAGGAAAGTCTGTACTATTCACCTGAGGAAAACATTTGAAATGTATTAAATAGTACTAGAGTCATACTGATAATAATTTTTGTTACTTTATAATACATGATCATCTGTACCAGCTTCAGTTATGTAGCTGCCGGCCAAAAAAAAAAGTATCAAAATCATTATTAACACACAAAAATTCCCAAATCATGGTCATCCATTTAATTTTCTGAATCTTATGGATGTAGTTAGTTTTCACTAAAATGGTGAATTTCCTCCAATGTGCTTGGAAAAGTCTGGATGCAGCTCATAAGGCAAGATGCTGGCATATCAAATGACCAACATAAATTATTATTAAATGGCAGCTTTGGCTACTTTAATTAGCTAATTAGGCCTATATTATTTAAAATTTCAACCTTCAAGAAGGCCTTTTTAAATTTAAAACAATGGAAGACCCAATCCATTTTACTATTTTTACATGTGCTTACAAAACGAGGGGGATCTAACAATCAAATCAATAAAAAAAATGTTTGGTTTTTCATACTGTTATAATAACACTTATAACAGTGTTAATTACTGTTATTACATCAACATTCATTTTTTAAAAATGGGCAGCATGACAAATAATGACATTGACTAGGCTTTTTGATGAGAATTACAGAATGATTTTTTTTTATAAAAAATGTATCAATAATAGCTAGAACACTAGTAAACTAAGCTAATTTAGCATATTTTAACTTTCTGTGCAAAGTCATTATTACTGAAAAAAATTCCAAAGTCAGGTCAGCCTGTGGCACCCTCCACTGAACTTGACAGAAGGAAAAAAAAACTTGAACCGTGACCTTCATTAAAATAGAATTTGCTTTTGTTTTTATTTTTAGTAAACATGTGCTTTATTTTACCCAATAAGTGATAAAAATTTGAAAATTAATTTCAATTACTGTTGTAAAGTGAGATAAACAGCTTAATAAACACGTGTTTTCTTGAGGGGGTGTGACCCGGGTGTGTTACATCGCAATTGGAACTTTATATTTCTGTGTTTTATGACTATATTTGTTTACAATTAGCATGCTATGCTTTTAAAATTGATAAAGGGTAAGTATACCAAGTTACAAAATCTGCAATACAACTAATAATTCATACTTTCAGTTTAAAAAATAATAAAAACGATCATCAACGAAGAAAGCGTAAACATTCTATTTTTAGGTGTGACATAAAAAAACAGTCATAAATCTAGCCAAATGATTGGATTCTTGCGCAGCACACATTTTCCCGCGCCTCGTTTTCACCAAACAAGATTATAATAAAATGGCATTATTGGGGGTGATCGTTTGCCCACGAACAGATCTCATAAACCCAAGAAATTATTACCAGTTAATTGTAATGTGTGTTAAATTAATAGTTTAAAGTTTTCAAGTAACATAGGCTGGGTTCCAAGGAATGCGATATTTCAGAGTTATTTGATTTAAAAGACAAGAATACATAGAGCTATTTTCACTTACGCGCCGCTTGCGAGACAAACAAAGAAATTAGGTCAAAAGTACATCTGGGAATTCTTAAATAACAGACTGAAATAGAAACGGATAGTTCCGTTTTCTAAAATTAACAATGGCATCGTAATCAATAGTTTTATCCCTCTACCGTTTAGAGAAAGCGAAACTCTTCGCCATTTTAGTAAGCACATGAGCCGTGAGATGCCACGAAAATGACAAACCCGGAAGTGTTGAATCGAACGGCCTACATTGACTGGCTCTGACCAGACCCACCCAAGCAAGATCTAGATTTAGATCTAGATCTAGTATAACAAAACGTTGTAATTATGCAGAAGCAAGTTTACATTATTAACTGTATTTTCTGTAAATGTTACTAATAATTACTTATTACATCAACAATCAATGATGAATGAATCATTCATTTCAACTCAACATGGACCGCATGACAGAACTGACTGGCTCTGGCCCACCTCACCCAAGCAAGATCTAGATTTAGTTCTCGTATAACTAAACGTTTTAATTATACACAAGCAAGCTTACATTATTAACTGTATATTCTGTAAGTGTTACTTTGCGTCTAATGTTTTCTAGGGAACTCATACTGTAAAAACTATTCAAATACTGTCCCAATGCTGGGCATCAGAATAGTAATATCAACACAGCAGTTGCCAAAGTGTGTTATATTTATAGTAGTCTCCCCTACTTGGATTAGAAAGGTTTGTTTCGGTGACTTAAAAAATTAAATCTAGATCTCTATAAAGAGTTTAAAAAAATTATGTTTATTAATTAAAAATTCAATCGTCTTAAAACTTTTGTCTTTAAAATTAACTATTTGTATTAATTTATATATTACAGTATTATTAATGGCTAGCCAATGAATTTAACTTCTAATCCGAAATTTTTATTTGCGTTGCCGGAAGCAAAGTGTGTAATTTGTGGGAGGGGTAGTAACTTCATGAATTTAACAGAATACCTTGAAAATAAATAAATCATCTAATTAATATGGTATGTGGGTATTTTATATAATTACCTTCTAAAAAAATTCCATATAGATCTAACATGCTCAACAAGAAATCATTGTCATGCGATCTTGATCACTAGCCTATTTACTATATTTTCACTCTGGCAGTCTTTCTCAGTCTTTCAAAATCACTGGAAACTCAGTGGAAACTGAGTAAAACACACTGAGTTTCAGTCCAGTGGTAGCCTAGGCCTAGGGCCTAGTCTTACTCTAAAGTAATCTCTAAGCTGTTTAGACCTAGATCTAGATTGTTAATTTGTTAATCTAAAATTTACTCAATTTTAACATGATCACTAAATATTAAATAGGCCTAATTAATATTAGGCCGATGCTAGAAGGAATAAGATACGCATGCGCAATGGAGAGAAACTACGACTTGCCATTGCGGCGATGTTTTCGATGGTACTGCGCATGCGTGTGTTTACAACCGCAGAACCCTAACACCAATCCTATCCCTAATCCTAACCCTAACTCTAGCCCTAATCCTAACCCTAGCCATAGGTCACTGCGCATGCACAGAGCTATCTTATGCCGACTAAGTGGAGACGTTGGGGAGAAAAATCTTATTCTGAGTAGTCACTTCGTTAATATTAATAGGCCCCTAATAATAATTATTAGGCTATAATGGACATTAAGACATCCTTATTTAAATTTAATCCATTAGGATTAGGCACTAATTTTTTAGGTTTTTAGTTCGTTTTAAACCAGGATTACTTAATTTAATATTTATTGTCACTCACTGCCATGGCACCACACACCTTTCCATTACATTTACAACCATGTTATATCACTTATGATTGAGGCCACGGCAAACCACGAATCGGATCACTAGTGATCAACTAAATAGGGTCATGTGGTTTTAAAAGAATAAAAAAAAAATAGACCTAGGCCTAATAAAAATATAAATAAATTGGTTGTGATATGAGAGCCATCTTATTTTTAAAAAGTGCTCACAATATTTTACTTCTTATTTCATAGACTTCTTCTTCGTTCTTAATTTTAGTGTTGGATGGGATTCCCTCCAACACAAATGCGCCATTGAGGCCAATGACTCAGATTTCAGCCTGCTTTTCTTTTTGGATTTGCTTCCATAGCCTTTGTCCAACCAAGGCAGCAGTTGTTTTGATTATGGAGTTGTCTCTCTCATCTGCCCCAGCCCCGAGGTTTAAACTCGGGACATTTGGTTCAGTGATCATGAGCTTAATTCAAAGATTAATTTTGAATTAAAAAGTGCAAAGTCAAACTTTTTAAACCCTTTGTCCTCATCACATCAACACAATTCCCTTACACACAAAAAAGACAGCGTTTATGGACTTATGGACAACCCCTTATTAAAAAAAGTTTTTGCTTTTGTGAATTAACTTAATGATGAGGTTGCAAAAAGATTTTCTAAAAGTAATCTTAAAATGATCTTTATCTTTTTAATACATGTAAAACAACAAAAAAGGAAAGTTACTTTTTAAGTTCATAAGTTTCTTTTACCACTGCATATGAATAAATAATGTGACCAGTATTGACCAGCTACCTTTACTGCTTTCTGTAATATTGTAAGACAGGTACCCATTAGAGATGAAAGGACTCAGGGGAGTTGTGCGGATTTTGGTTCATTATCTTGAGACTAAAAGTAATAGCAGTCGTTCACTCAACCACACGGCCACACTGTTACATACCTGCTTTACTTAACTACTCATCTCTCTCACATTAACTTTGACCTATGAGTTTGGACTTGTAGCCCTCAAAGGTTACTGTCCTTTTTTTTTTTTTTAAAAATATGATTATAGCTGTTTTCATTAAGTCAGTGTGGATTCAATACAACAGTAGACCAAAACCCTAACTATAAAAAATATAAAAATTTTTTTAGATAAACTCTTTAGCACTGTCTTAGCATCCACATAATTTTAATACTTGTTGATGAATTTTTGTTGTTTTGTCTTTTTAGTCGCATTAAACTTGAATGAAAAGATTGAAGTTTAGAAAAGTTTGTAAAATGTTATAAAATATTGCTACAATTTTTTTAAAAACCAATTTTTCAATAACGCTGCGTACAATGCTGGAGATATTCATTAGAATTTCAGAGATAATGCAACCAAGTACTTTAACATTAAATAACAAGCTGAAAAGTAACTACTCCAGTAGATAATACGACATTAAATATTGTATATAGTAACTCCCCCAAAGTTAACCCTGTAAGTTATGGAGTCATCATACGTGTAAATCACTAATTATCCATGTCATAATATATCGCGCTTATTTTACTGAAACTTTTTAACTTTGATTTTTTTCTTATATTCCAGATCCGTTTCATTTTAATCCAGAATAGAGCTGGAAAGACTCGCTTGGCAAAGTGGTATATGCATTTTGATGACGATGAGAAGCAGAAGTTGATTGAAGAGGTCCATGCTGTGGTCACTGTGCGAGATACAAAACATACCAATTTTGTAGAGGTAACCATTTGAATTTAATCAACACTTGTTTAAGAAAAAATATAAATTTATTTTCTCACATTCCAATTTTGTAGAGGTAACCATTTGAATTTAATCAACACTTGTTTAAAAATTGTAAATTTATTTTCTCTCATTCCAATTTTGTAGAGGTAACCATTTGAATTCAATCAACACTTGTTTAAAAAATATTCATTTATTTTCTCTCATTCCAATTTTGTAGAGGTAACCATTTAAATTTAATCAACACTTGTTTAAAAATATAAATTTATTTTCTCACATTCCAATTTTGTAGAGGTAACCATTTGAATTTGATCAGCATTTGTTTAAAAAATATTCATTTATTTTCTCTCATTCCAATTTTGTAGAGGTAACCATTTAAATTTAATCAACACTTGTTTAAAAATATAAATTTATTTTCTCTCATTCCAATATGCTTTAAGAATAACCAATACTTTCTATTTTTCAGTTTCGAAACTTCAAAATTGTTTATCGTCGCTATGCCGGCTTGTACTTCTGTATTTGTGTTGATGTGAATGACAACAATCTAGTATATTTAGAGGCAATCCACAATTTTGTAGAGGTGTTGAATGAATTCTTCCATAATGTCTGCGAGCTAGATTTGGTTTTCAATTTTTACAAGGTTAGTATTTATATGGATTAATATACCACTACACAAAATATGTTGTTCTTTGTAATCAACAGCAAACTTATTTATTATTTTAATTAATTTATTAATTTGTCAATTTATGGAAAAATCATGATTTAGAAGGACTTGAAAAATATCCTCACCATCAATATAGATTTGTTTTACGATTGATTTGTTTTTTAAGTTTCACTAAAGGTAAAGAAACGGATTTAGTAGTTATTAATTTGACATTTATGATGAGAAGTTAACTAATTATAGATTATAGATGGGAAAATCAGACTTAACATTATTTTTTAAAGATAATTTGAAACTTATGGGGGCCTACTTACAGATTAAATTATTGCACTGCCTACCACAGCTTAAGTACTTTTTCAGACTGTGTTTTTATGATTATATTAAAATTCTAGTTTCCATTTTGCAATTTTTAAAGATTGGATTTTTTAAATAAACATGCTTATTTTTTTCTTGCTGTGTATTAAAACATTTAAAGATTTGATTAAAAACAATCCATGTAAAATGATATAAATCTCTATATTTTCCCATTAGGTGTACAGTGTAGTGGATGAGATGTTCTTGGCAGGAGAGATTCGAGAAACCAGCCAGACCAAAGTCCTTAAACAGCTGTTAATGTTATCTTCGTTAGAATAGTACTTGTGCAATATTTGTTCCCCTTAAAACCTTATGTTTTCAGATTAAATAAACTTGCATTTGATTTCAAACTCATTTACCTAGTGAAAGTGTATAGCTATTGAGAGTTGAATGTAGTCTCCCTCATACAAGACCTTATAATTTATACTTGTCAAAGATGGATGTTTAAATAAAAATAGCTTAGATTTAAGTGTTTAGCTAGAATGAAATATAGATGTCAAAAGACATTCGGGGTTGTTTTTTTTTTTTTTTTTTGTATATTTGTACCATTTAAAATGTTGGTTTTTAAACTAGCTAAAAGTTTAACTGAAATAATAGTTTGAAACTAAAGCAAGTAATGTTGTAAAATAAATGTCATGTATTTACAGTTTAAAACTTTATTTTACATCTATTTGCTCTTGTGATATTCTGAACAAAATTCATGATATAGAGCCAAAATAAGCCTTCTTTGTGGACTTCAATTTAAACTTCTAAACCTAAGTTTTTATCTACTTTTGCTCTGAGACATATTTAATCATTAATTTATTCTACTTGTTAAGTTTTTATTTCCTTATCTTTGTGTGCTGTTTAACCAGGTGAACTTGATATTAGGGGCAAGACATTTTGGATACCATTCATCATTGTTCAGTCTGATGCACTCAGATACATTCTGCTGCTTTTTGTTTTGTTTATCATAAATGTCTTTAAAGTTGCATCCAAGGGAAGGTGGTTTCTTAGATTAGTAGCCACACAAACATTCCATTGTGCCAGCACTAGCAGGGTGTACTAGCAGCACAGCTCTGCTCATCTTCACTGATCCTCCACACTCTCACTTCATCGTACACTTATCCTGTACATCACAAATAGCATTTTAGTTTTATCGTGTAGCTAACAAACAGCACTATTATAAAGTTATTTTGTACATAAATAACACCACTAAAAATTCAGTGTTAATTTTTTAAGCCAAAAATTACATTATAAACAGTGTTATTTATTGTGTTAAAATTATTAAAAATATTTTTTTTTCTTTTAATCTAGAACTAAAAGTAAATCAATTTTTTTCTCATGAGAAAATTTTGCTTCAGCATTTTGGGCCAATGTAAACATTTTAAAAAATAAAATACAGCAAGCCTAGGCATTAAACACTTCATCCCCCACCTACATGTATTACTGTGTAGCTTGTAGATGTAGTTTGGTCCAAAGTGCTAGATCAGCAATAATGCACCTAGCATACCATCTACCGTTATTTAAATATGATGTTTTTAATTCAATGTCCATCATATTTTCTGGTTAGATGTGTTTGCCAATGAGAAACTGAGGTTTATCTCGGTCAAACATTTTTTTTTGAGTCGATTATCTTGAATTATTAAAATATTTGTGTATTTAAGGTAATAACCTTTGGAATGTCAATATTATTTGTATACATCTTAAGTTGTAAAACCAAATAAAAATGTAAAAAAATTAAGAACTTTACTTTTACTTTTAAAATTTAGTAGGCCTACATGTTAAATAATTTAGTGATGGCTAAAAATGAAAACCAAGTAATTTGATATTGACTTCTTCTTAATTCTTAATTGTTCAATATCGAAGGAAATTCCCTCCAACAAAGTTAATTACATTTCACATGTTATGGACCTTGCGGTCCGTTGACTTGCCTTAAGCCTGCTTTTCTTTATGGATTTGTTTCCATTGCCTTTGTCCACCCAAGGAAAATCTACATGGCAACAGTGGTTTGATTTTTGAGTTTTCTCTCCTAGATGGATGGCTGTCCTCGGCTAATGAGCCTCACCCAGAATACACCATCCCCATGAACTAACAGTGAGCGTCTAACAGTGTTAGTGAGCGTCTTTAAGTTTGGAACTCACACACCACCCTGATATTTGGTCAAGATGGATTAGCTGACCTATTCTGAAAAATAAAAAATGGATGGGGGAAATAGTATTACCAGGGAGTGGGTAGACGCGGTGTACAGTGTAGCTAAGACCATTCCATTGCTAGTGTTATTCTATGACACTCAACTTTTAAAGTTCACTTTAAAAATAAAGCACTAATGGTGGACTTGATGCCAGAAATTCAACTTAATGGACTTACCTAAATAGGACTTGTATGCAGGTTTTTTTTATTGATGGAGGCACACAGAGAAAAATGGGGATACATATAATTCATATATTATAATAACATCTCTGAAATAAGTAGTAAAAATGCATCACATTCTGAATGTTGAAAATACTTTATTGCTCCATCAACATATTACAAGTTATTCAGACCAGTAACCACATCTGAAGTGAAATATGTTTTTAATAGTTCACCCTGGATCAACAATTTTAAAAATCTGGAAAAAAAAACTACGAGACAAAATAGATTTGAAATTTTCCTTTTTAAATGAGTATAAAAATAGTTAGAGTTTTAGTGCCAAGTATAGTTTTAATATTATTGTTTCTTTTAAATTAGTAAATGGTAAAATTGTGTCACGCTTTTTAGTTAACATTGGAATTCTATAGCATAATTCTATTTAATCATGGCAATCACTTTGAGAATGGTTACAGAAATATCAATGATTTTTAAACATGTATGTTTCCAACTATGAGAATGATGCACATAAATAAGTTTTTAAAATGAATATTGCCGTAAACCAATTTCATCAAAAAATAACAAGAAAATATTGGTAATGTTGTGTAGCACCAACACCACAAGAGCTAGAATTTAAAAAAAAAACAGGACTCACAGATAAACAAACCACCTTAGCAGATCAAGTTTCTAGGGAGATCCATTTATCTAACACACTAAATTAACATTGGTTTGGTTACTAACTGTAAACCAGAAACAATATTTGGGCCTATCATTTTTTTTTTTTGCAATCTATGATATTTAATGATATTTGGTCTCATTATTAACAGAAAGAAAAAAATACAGTTTAGATTAGTGTTCATTTTGATAATGAGCAGTACTGATAGTCTGAAGCAGAAGGTAAGATTTTTTTTAGCTAGGAGCTACAGGTTGAAATTCAATGACTTCATCATAGGTTAGTTTAATAAGTTTTAGAGCAATAGTTCTAGATATTGTTGGTTTGCTTTAGAATTGTTTACTAATAACCTCCCTAGCCTAAAATGAGCGTCAAATTTTTATTTACCTTTGCAATTAATTTAAAGCTATTGATTATGTGTTCACTAAGTAAATTTGGACTATTTTGTTTACTTTTGGTTGGAGATTTTAAAATTTTCTATGTAAACTCTTTCATATTAAAATATTGATTGACAAGTGGTCACAGAAAAAAAAATGACAAAAAAGTATTAAATATCATAAATAGATGCAATAAATAAAGGAAGATATAAGAACAACAGATATTCTGCATTTCTTTCAGTTTTTCTAGCTACCAATAATATATTATCACAATAAAACGTATCAAGAAAACATAATTAAATTGTATGTAAAAATACATCATTTCAATAAATTTAGCACACAAAAAATATGTTCACATAAATAAAAAAGAGCTAAATTTGTCTGTTGTTTTGTGTTAGAGAAATTATGATTTTATGATGATGAATTGAGAAAAATACTGATTGGTTTCTATTACGAGCACAGAAACAATTTCAAACTGGTTGCCAGCTGACTCATATAAATAGCAGAAAACAGAAAGTCTATAGGTTTACTGGAAGTGACAAAAAAACTCGGAAGATATTAATTCGACTACAGAACAATAATATTTACAAAAAACATTTTAAAATTACATTTATACCCGAAGATTGTTTCATGAGCTGAAAGGAAAAACTGTGATGGGAAGAAGAATTTATGAAAAGATTCATTTAATAAGAATTTAAGGACCCTATTTTGTCTGTTGTGGCGATATGTAGTATAAAAATATTACCATGGTCTTTTTAACTTGTAAAGTTTGGAGTGTTTTATGGTGTTTATAAATAGGTCTATATTAAAATCAGACTCCAAGATAATTTGAAAATAATATTCTTGAAGCATGGTTTGATTTTCTAAATTAACATATACATATAAATTTGTATTACTAAACACACCTAGATATGTGTTTGTCTCCCCTTGAATATCAACTTCATTTAATTAGCAAATAGTATATAGCAAATTCAAATTGTCTAAAACTAAAAATAAAACATGTTCTTAAAATTTGGCACATTATAGTTTTGTTATGAAATAGATTTCTTGTGTTTATATGTTTATGTTTAAACAATCTAACTAAATGACAAATTAATATCTTCAGTTTGTTAACAGGAATTAACTATATTTCAACACAACTGTTGGCTTACAATAAATTAGCATAAGGGGTCATCCATAAATGATGTCATGTTTTTTTAAAAACAGTTTTTGCCTCTCCTCCCACTGTCACAAAATGCCACTCCCCCCCCCCCCCCCTCAATTTACAGAAGTCTTTAAAAACATGAAATAAATGCTGAAACTCATTTTCTAATATTGTTTTAAAAATGCCAAAGGTGTATTGCCACATTTTCTTAAACTCCTCATCCCACTTAGTCAGAAAAGTTCATTTTCTTCTTCCCATCCCCTCCCCCCCCCCCCAAACCACCACTCCACTTAGCCTATGACTACAATAATGGATGACCCTTGACTTTCTTATACATATACTCACTGTTAGATCTTTGTTTTGGTTTGAGAATTTTGAAAGATTGCCTAAGATGAAGAAAAGACAAGCCCATGGCTTTGGAGTTTTAAAAGTTTTCTTTTTTTTCAAAATAGACTATTAACATCATCAGAACTTTATTAAGAAAACATAATTTTTTGTAACGGGTTAATATCTAACTGCCTTTAAAAACATGTAAGCAGTTAAATAACAAATATTAGCAAATGATGAGTAATTATTTAAAAACCATACAGAAGTGTTTGTTCCTTACAAAAAAAAAAACATCAAGGGAGGTTAAGTTTATGAATGGAATGTTAGGGTTTGATGGTTTAAGACAAAAAAAAAACCCTTGGCTTAGACATTTTATAAGAGTATCTACATGCTTCAATATACAAATATTTTCAACTAATACAAACAACTAATTCAACGGCTGCTAAAGGCTTTATTCCCTAAATTTTATAATGTGCATTCAATTTTTGGCAACAGTTAAAAGCCATTTGCACATTTCTCAGGCATATTTTAACTTAATCTAATTAACCTACTCTAAAATAAAAATCATATGAAAATTGATATTTTTAATAGCTCAATTTTCTAAAACAAAAATCCTCTTTATTTATTGCATATATAAAATATATGAATGTTTTGTGTCCACTCTGGAATACTATTGAAATAAACAAAATTTATTGACACAATTTATTCAAACCTTGTTCAATTTATATTAAAATTTAAAAAAGTGATTTTTAGAATACCATGTAAAGAAAATCAGTTAACAGTAACTGTATTTGTATGTATATTATTGAGATATAAAAAATAGTATCAACAGAAATTAAAAAGGAAACTCTATGGTCCAAGCTATTATGGTCTAAATATTATAGTAATACAACAATTGGCACAAATAAAAATTGATATTTCAATTCACTTGTTTTTTTTATTTGCGTAATTTCAATTAACAGAATGGTAGTGTACTACTGTAAAGTCTTTGGAAAACTGTTTTAAACTCACCAAAAGAAAAAGCCACAAGTATATTTTCAACATAAATATTCTTACTCCACAAAATATCTGTCCTTCAAGACAAAAAAAAATATTTGTCCCCTTAGACTCTAATAAGTTTCAATTTTTTTTAACAAAGATTAACTTAAAGATAAGTTTTTTTAATACCAAAAAAAAACTAAACTACAGAAACAGTTCAGAGTAGTGTGACATAATTATTTTAAAAAATCTTTTACCCCTGAAAATCAATCTACTGTAGGTTTAGCATTGTCTCAACTTGCCATTGTCAAGCTACACTGCTTTTTTTTTACAGGTTATAAAAATAAAACACCATATTACCAATCAGGATTAATGCCTATAAATTTTTGCCTAGCCTTTTATCATAAAACCTAAAGATCCAGATTTTGTATTGATTCCACATCATAGGCTTCTAAATGTTAGTTTCAAAACAAACTAGAAATCGCTGAGAAAAAAAAAATTAATTCTGAAATACATTTTAAAGAAGCAGATGTAGATCATGTACATGATTGGAAGTCCTGTTTTTTTATGACGTGTATAATGCTGATCTGGAGGTTAAAGTGCCATTGGTTTTACTCCAAATCCTAAAAATGAATAACACACCAGCTTAACATGAGAAACAGACATTAATATTATTAAAGATTATCAATATTTGGCAAAATGTGTGGTAAAACCTATTGTTTTTCTTAATGAAAACTCAATATGATGAGTTTAAACTTAAGTCTGAAAAATATTTCTGATCTTGCAGTTTCTGCACAGATGAAGTGATAAAATCCCTTTTTACAGTATGTTTTTGTCAAGTGGTGTAGAATATATAGAAAAAATGAGACCAAAATATCTCAATAGTACCATGTATCTTGCAATTGAAATAAATATAAATCTTACATGATGCTATTTCCATGCATACTTAAAATGTAACTACATGTATAATCTGTTATTTAAAATATTGCATATAATAAAAAATATATTTTTAAGTTGTACTGGTGTATGAAAATACAATAGCTAAAATGTACTCCTTTTATAAAGTAATAAACATAATGTATACAAAGCTAAACTAATACCCTTAAAACTAGGTAAAAGAATTTAAAATATTTAATAATTATGCAAAGTTAGGACTGGCCCATTATAATGTTGTTTAACATATAGAAAAGCATGTCAATGAAAATGATTTTATTTTGGATAGACATAAATAGAATCAATTGGTCCACCTAATACTAATGAAAAAGAATTGGTTTAAACAACTACATAAATGAGCTTTTATTAAGATTCATTTTAGATGACAATCTGGTAAGCTTATGGTTCATTTTCATTAGCAATACTGCTTTATAAATTTTAAGAAGTAATAAGAAACTTCAAGGCAAATCTTAATATGTCTGAATTAAACTACATTTATTAGAGGTCAACTTTTAATAAAACTGTAGCTAAGTAACTGTAATAGTTAGGATTTTCCTCAGGATTTAATGTTTCATGTAGCTTTGGTACTCAGCTGAATTTAAAATGTTTTTAAAACTTTGTTGCATTTTACCTATAATTGAATTTGTGTTAGGCTATAAAGCTGTAGTCAAGTAGGGTTAAGGCCTCTCCCAGTTATAGTTTTGGCCCATAGCATTGGCATACCTATTTTTTTTAATGGCTTGGTTTAATCATAATGCAGGGGTCTTTGTTTAAATCATTTAGTTCAAAAGTATGCAGCTATTGTTAAATAAAACACTTCAAAAGAAAATATTTAATAAATGTTTTGTTTTTAGTCAGATCAAAAGGAAAGAAAAATTAGAATATATTTGTAGCCTAAATTGACTTCAAATAAGTAGGCCTATTGAAATTGAAAACCTTAAAGAATATAACAATTTTTAAAAAAAAATTGATATGTACGAAAATACACTTATGTTTCCTATTTATGGGTCAGATTTCACCTGTCCAGAAAAGTCAGGTATTTAAAAATAAATCAAACTAATTAAGAACAGCAAAACTTTGCAGAATTAAATTCAGTAAGTTGCACTACGGATATAAAATTTAATAAGTTAATAAATAAATATACATGCTCAAACTAAATGTGTACATTTGCACATCTTACTATTTGCTTATCTGTGAACATTATCATGCTTTAGTGACAGAAAGTTAAAAAAATTCTAATGTTCAGAGAAAATATGTTCCAATGATCCCATGTAATTTGTTTTTACAATCTTCCAAGGAAACAAGTTCTAAGGAAACAAGTTCCAAATATATCAAATATTCAATGTTCCAGAAACATGACCCAAGAAACACTGAACACAAGCAGCTTATTCCAAAAAGGTCAAGTTAAAAAAATACTGAGGATAGAACACATCAAAATATAAACACCATCATTTCTACAACAAATACATTGGTCAAAACAATATGCTTGAATGTACCTAATAGTTAGAATATGCCTAACAATAAATAAATGCTATTAGGGATACATTTCTACTAAGAAGGATTAATTAAGGCTAATTACCACAGTTGACTTCAAATATTAGCTTTTGTAATAAATAAATATTGTACATTATACACAAAACAAAGTTGTCAACAATCATTTGTAGAATTTATCCACACGTTTGAGAAATTTTTTCATTGCACAAATTAAATAACCACTTCTTAGTTCTGTCAGAGTAATTTGGTTGAACTGGGCAGTAATTCACTTTAAAGAGCTTTGATGGAATCAATGGATATTCTTTCTAAGCACCCTGTTGTCATGAGGATTTAGTTATAAATGTAGCCAATGTTATTTTGCTTTAACAGGCCAATCACAAACATTAGATCCAATGAATAAATAATAGTATAAACACCTGTTACAAATTGTGTTCCAATGGTATTGTTCCTTCCAGCAGGGTGTTTCACCACCATCTTGTCTTGCAAGTAGTGGATCCAAAATTACTATGAGCGCTAGAGCCCAAGCATAAATGTTTCTTAGCAGCGCCACCTACATCTGTTGCGATAAGGAGTGTGACTGGCATACTTGATCCAAAGAACCTTTACTTCAATAATTATTCCAATATAGTTCTGCTACAAAAGCAGTGAATTATTTATATATATATATTACCCAACAATATAAGAAAACTATTATTTTGCTTTCCAAATTATTTTACTCTTTCTATACACATGAGAATGAGGACACATATTTAAATATGTTCCTTAAAATATCCATTTAAAAAAAGTTCCAGCAAGACAAAGTTGTATCCAATTCTGCCAGAATAGTTTTTTGTTCAGCTTGCAAGCACAGCAAACTGTTTGGCCTCATTGCACAATCTTGTGTTTAAATACCAGGTATAGAAATGTTGTAATGTCGATCATTGTTTCTCAGATGGATACTGTTGGGTGTTCATTAGTTCTGATTCAATAGTATTATGAAATTCAACATGGCTATTATGAGTAAACAATCCCTTTATCAACAGTAAAGAAAATGTTTTTTTTTCATTTAGCTGCATTATGTCCTTGTTGTGTACAGCTGTGTTCTGTTCACTTTGTGTACAGCTTTCTGTTGACTTTGACTTGATTTTTTTTATGAACATGTCAAACCCTTCAAAAAATTCCAGCATTTTATTGAGCAAATAAATAAAATTGGGACTATGTATATAGAAATGTACACATCTGCCCTCAAATCCAATGAAGAGATCAGGAATAAACAACACCCTCAAACATGGTCTCATATATTATTTTATCACATAAACGTTTAGAACATGTAGATCACGTAGTCCCTGGAATAAGGGCGCCCTGTTGCTGGCAACATGAGGCATCAAACTTCTGTGTCTCGCTGCATGTGCAGAGCATCCATCTGCTCCAGGATAAATGCAATGGTGTTCTGTCTGATGATGCCTATGTGGGACTTCAGCAAGGAGATCTGATCATTGGCCAGGTCCAATTTTGAGCGAAGTCTGGAATTCTCCTCAATCAGCTTCTCACGGGCCTGACAAGGAATAGAGAATTAACAAATAAACAACATTTAACAAAAACATTGCTAGTTTTTAAACTATGCTGGTAACTCTATGTAAAAAAAAAGTAATTTTATGTTTCAAAAAGTTCTGTTGAAACTTGAACTGAAAAGATGTATGCATTAGTTAAATGAAGACAAAACAACAAGAAAAGCATACAGGTCTCAAAATTGAATCCTTTAAAGATGGTTGCTTGTGTTAAATAACAACAGGAAAATTAATCCCAATCTTAATGAAACATCTTAATCTTTTTTATATCAAGGTTGCAAATTTTATCCAAATTTATCCAACACATCTAATTGAATATGTTGTGAATCATATACTGATTTTTCTTTTTTTGGGCAGTAGGTTTGGGGCGATTTTTTTCTGTAGCTTTTTTAGTATCAACAAATTGTGTAAATTTATTGCTGTATTTTAAAAAACATTTTGATAAAATGATTGAAACATTACAAATTTCACATTTAACATTTTAAAATGATTATATACTATGTTTGGAAAAAATATATATATTGTAAAAAAAAAAGGTAAAATATTTTCAAATTTAACAAGTGGTTGATATAAAAAATGTGAAAATACAAAGTGCAACTGCACATTCAAAAGGAGTACACAGTAAGTTGCTTCAACTATAGGTGGGTTAGGATAACAGTGGAGAATTGTTGTTTTTTTATCCAGGTTAGTTCACTAATAAACATGCTTTAAAATATAAAGCTGCAACACAAACAATAGGAAAATAGATAAAACTTGGATTGGATTTTAAGTGATGAAAACATGCCTTGCCATGCTTGAGAACATTTACAGAAAGAGAAGATCATGCTTGTTAGCATCCAATTGATAAAACTGAATTGTTTCATTTATTTTCAATTTTTAATAAGGTGGAATTTTTGCTTTAAATTTGTTTCCGTTACGGGGAAAATAAATTATAAAAGCAAAAGTAAAATTGGAAATATTTTCAATATAAGAATTATAAAAAGAAAAACAGATAAAATAAGTAAAAATAATTAGTATGCCCAAATGTTAAAAAACTAGATAAACTGGTTTAGAAAGAAAAAAAATCCCAATTTCTATTTTAATGAAATTCTAAGGAAATCGGAAACAAGCTGAAACTGGGTAGAATAAGCTCTAAAAATATTTTTAACATTGGGAAGTGGTATAATCATTTTCATTCCATAAATATATGATAACAAAGTTTGGCATATACACAGAAAATAATTTTGGTTGTGATATACTGGATTAGAAAATGTGATCCATAAAATACACTATTCTATAAACTGAAGTAAGCAACAAAACTGAAAGGAAACTTGGACTGGATGAAAAAGAGCAACTTACTGAACTTCCTCTTGATATGCCACTTGCTATAAAACAAAAACAAAAAGCTCGTGACAATAATAAACTTAGAAGTAAGAAGATGTAAGAGTGAACCCAACACCTTTGTTTTCTAGGTTGCATAAAAGGCTAGCCTATATTTAGACTAGAAATAAGAAGTTCTAATCGTCAGCCCAACACCTTCGCTCTAGGTCGCATAATAAAAGGCTAGTCTATATTTAGACTAGTGATTAAGCTTAGTTAGAAGCCAAATACATTTACAAAACTATAATTATGATTTTTGCAAGTGGTAAAAGCCAGTGTTTCTTCCAGACTTTTTTCTCCGGGGGGGCACTTGAAATCTTCGGGGGGGCGGTAAACTTTCTTCGGGGGGGCGGACACTGTTAAAAGTATATATTTTCTATATAAATTATATAAGTTTCATATCGTTCGGGGGGGCGGTAAAAAATTTTCGGGGGGGCTTTGCCCCCCCGAAGAGATGCCTGGAAGAAACTCTGGTAAAAGCATGTGGCATGCAGTTTAAATTTAAACAATGTGATTGTGCATTTCATTTACTAAAAATCTTTTTAATAAGATTAATCACTGTAGACTACTAAAAAATAAAATAAAATTGGTATGTAACATTAATAGATTGTTTTTTATTTGTTAAATCTGTTTCAAAACTTTGCGATTTCAAGTGTTTTTGCTGTATGTAAGCTGTTCATTTTTAAGTTGTGTGTTTATATATATATATATATATATATATATATTCAAGTATATATATATATATATATATATATATTCAAGTATATATATATATATATATATATATATATATATATTTTCAAATATATATATATATGTATATATGCTGTTTTATATATATATATATATTTTTTTTTATTCAATTGTGAATATAGCATCGACCTGATAAAGAACAATAACAATCCTTTCGCTGAATTAAAACGTTAAAACAAAACATGATGAGAACACTGTGAATAGCCTAAGAAACACTCATGTTAGAAAGGTGTTTAGAAAAAAAATTAAGTTAAACCGCACTATTTGCATGTTATGACAAACATTGTGACCAGCACACACCTCCTCTGCTTTCAACAATCTCTCGTAGAGAAGGGCCTGCTCCTCGTAGTACTCCCCGTCTATAAACGAGCAGTCCCTGTGGCTCAGGTGGTTGTGGCTGTTGCTGGTGTTCATCACCTTCAGGCTGCTGGTTCTCCTCATGGTGGCGCCCTCTGTCTGGGTCGACTGGGGGCACGTGTGGGACGGGGAGGATCTCTTCTGGTGGCGCTGGGAGATCTTGCGCTTGGCCATTATGGTCAGGTCAGGTGGTCCAACGCCTGAGAGAATATTAATTTGCCATTTTTGTTAGGTCATAAGGCTAAAAAAATCTTAAGATTATGTTTTGCCATTTTTGTTCAATCAGGAGAAATTATTTTAAAATTTAACATTTGTAAAACATATCGCCTTTCTTGGCTTAATATGTTGAGGTTTATTATTTAGCAATCTTACAAATATCTTCTAGGTTTTTCCATTTTAAATATTCAGTTTAAAAAAAACAACAGTTACCATTTCAATGATATTTTGTCAATATTAAACTCACCATTAGACATGGATTCAGTCCTTTTGCTCCCTTTACTTCGACATTCCATCACTACTAAATCTTTGCAGTGTTTGTGGGCATTAATACCACAGTCTACGCATTAAAAAATAAAATTAACAAAAGAATTTATAAATAAAATATGTGGAAAATATCTATAGTTTGTGTTTAGATTTGTTCTGATTCTTTCTCAAGAATAAGCCAGAGTTTGTAAAAAAAACGAATAGCTGCATGTAATTTAAACTCCCATGAACACAGTAAAATAAATACACAACAATTGTTGAAATAGGTTACCTTTACATTTCCATCCTTGTTTGATCAGGCCCCATAACTGGGAAGAGAAAAATTTTGTACAGAACAAATTGTGGTGTGAATTGGAACAAAATCTATCTTGCTCCTGTGAGTTTATTTAAAACTGTTGCTGTGTGATGTGAATTATTTTAACACGCAATAATATGTTGACATGTAATACCTAATTGTCTTGGAGGAGATCCCATAAAATATTACAATTGTGAATTGAGACAGTACTTTAAAGTTTATTAAAATAATTGTTTTGTTATTTGACATATTTTAATGTAATTTATCTTTTTGCTGTAAGTTCATTAAAACAATTGTTGTGTTATGTGACATATTTAAAATGTATTTTATCTTGTTGCTGTAACTTTATTAAAACAATTGTTGTGTGGTGTGACATATTTTAATGTATTTTATCTTGTTCCTTTAACTTTATTAAAACAATTGTTGTGTGGTGTGATATATTTTAATGTATTTTATAATGTAGCTGTAAGTTTATTTAAACAATTGTTGTGTGATGTGAATTGTTTAACCACAAATCTCTACTCACCAACCCCGTGCAGTGAATACAGAATGTTGGCTTGAAGTAAGTTGTTTCATGAAATGCATGTTTAAAGCTGTTTCTCAGGTGCTGGCTGTTGGCGCGGATGAAGTAGGTCTTCATTTCTTTCTTGCTGATCATACCATCTCTGTGTTGTTTAGTTTAGTTAGTGATTGAGCAATATTGTTAGAGATTAAGTAAATGTTTTATTTATTTGTTGCTATAGCAACCACAGTTGCCCTTTCACCTGACGGTCAAGAGGGTAGATGAAGTAGAGTTCACCCATTTGTAGAGATAGTATGGTCAGTTCTGAGTCCAGCTGCCTTTACTTTCCCTAACATGAGCTAGATAGACATCAGAGATGGGTGGACTTAAGGGATGCATTAGTCCAGGGACCAAACCCATGCCTTTAGTGTCAGAAGTTGTGAGCTCTAACACTCAACCATGCCATCCCATAAAAAAAAAGCTTAAAGCACTGGGTGACAGCACCTAGGAACGAGTGACACAAAGTGGACTAGAGTTTTAGTATATCATACATCTAGTCTGTGGCTGTGGGGGTGACACCCTGGGTTACCACATTGGGTACAGCTTTTTGTTTAGAATATTTATCTGAAACCCAGTTTTTTTTTTAAATTTTGAATCATTTTATATCTAATTATCTTCTGAAAATGTATGTTTAAATTAATAAATTTTGTTCAGAATTATGATGACTTACTTATCAGCATCAAGCACGCAGAATGAATCAATGAAAGGAAAATTCCCTGCAATGGCATCAAACTCCTCATGTGAGATAAACCCATCTTTGTCATGGTCATAGTTTTTAAAAACAGCCTGAAATTTTTGCAAGATAAATCACTGAAAATGTTTTTTTTTAAATTAAATTAAAATGATATATATTCAACTAGTGTCTGTCATCCCCCCTCCCTCCCCAGAGTTTCTTCCAGGCATCTCTTTGAAAGTCTACCACCCCCAGAACTAAATGGAATTTATATAAAAAATATACTTTTAACAGTGTCCGCCTCCCACCCAGAAAAAAGTCTGGAAGAAACACTGCCCCCCCCCCCCCCCCCCCCCCCACCCAACACACAAAGCAATGTGTTTAAATGAACCACAGCAGATCAAGTGAGATGAACATGAATTTTACAGAAAAGTATTGACATAGCAACACTTAAGTTGTAAGATTAAGTGTGCAAGGACATTTAGTTTACTGACCAGGGGTATATTTTTTATTAAAACACCTAACAATTATTTTTTTATAACCATAAATAATGTACTATTTTTATTTTGATAGCCAGCTTGCTCTTACGGTAAAAATTATACATGCTAATTAAAAAATTGTAAAACAAGAGCTAAACATAAGCTCAACAAGGCTTGAACAAGAGCTTCCTGTTCAAGACAAAAACAAGAAGCACTTATTAACCTTCTGTTGAACTTGCAACTATGTCAATACATAACAAAACTCAGTAAAATATCTACAAACTCTCTAAGTACCAGGGCAGTATGGCAAGCACACAAAACTAAATCCCATCCTAAGGCAATGTTCAAACAACTCTTGGCCAGGTGCAAGGTAAACCTTTGAGCCAATCTTTCAACAATTGAAAAAACAAATAAATCACACATGGGACTGTAGACTGACAGGTACACTCAACTCACCTCCACCATGTCATGGACATGTTTATTTATAGTGTCAGAATCTGGGGGGCTGATGCCTGACAGCCAATCAGCAAACACCACAGGTTTGGTTGGTGTTGTGGGCTGGGGACAACAGTCGTGGTTTTATTTCAGCATTCAACAATACACGTTTTATAATAGTGTAGTCAAGTCTTTGTCATTATTTTCATTAAGATGAATTTATATAGTTTTAAAATGATTGCTTTAAACCTTTTAAAGTAGTATTAAAATGCTATTAATACAATACTAAAAAACTATTACAAATAGGCTTAATATTTATATTATTATAATGCTCTTTAAAAACTAGATTGACATTGTTTTTAAAGTAAAATCTAAACCAATTAAAATAAAAAAAAAACTCACAGATGAAAGAGATCCTCTGGGCTCTCTAGCTAAAGACAACTCATAGATCTCATCCTCTGTGTGATATAAATCTAAGGAAAGCTGCAAGGGGAAGTAATAGTAGAGTTAATACTTAATGACTTTTGACATAACCTGCTAGCTAAAGACAACTCATAGATCTCATCCTCTGTGTGATATAAATCTAAGGAAAGCTGCAAGGGGAAGTAATAGTAGAGTTAATACTTAATGACTTGACATAACCTGATCTGAATGGATGAGACCTCATAATCTCAATGAAATTATGAAAAATATAATTATTAGTTTCACCTTCATTAATATTGGTTTAATTTAACCCACATTATTTGTTATTTTCTGGTGAGAAAATTATTTCTTGTTTAAGAAATATTCTAATATTAGATCTTACACACACATTACACACATACAAGCTGTAGCCACATTATATCCATATCCTTACCCTGAGTGTGTTGACCAAATCCATGTTGGCATCCACTGGAATGGAATCCAGGCCCTGGAGTCTGGTCAGCTCTCTGAGAATGATGGCCAGTTGGGCCATCTTCCGAAAGTTTAACAAATTCCCATCAACCCGATCAGGTAATGCTGTATGTAGTGAGATAAGATCCTTCAGATGTACACCACTGACAGATTGACAGAAAATGATTAGTGTAATGAGTAATGACCAATCAACAACAAAATAATTAGTCTCAAAAAATGACAGATCAAAAACAAAATACTCAATATATCAGAGTAAAATATCAGCACCTCAAAAATATAAATATAAATTAACAAAAAATATTACCCAATATATTAGGTTAGAATCAATGTAGGGTAAACTTTAAGCCAGAACTTACAGTATAGGAATCTTGAAGCCAGTACAGTGGTGGTAAACCTTGCGATAATTACTGAAGTTGTTGTTAGATGACAGCAGTTCTGTCAGCTCTGCCAGTGTCTGAGGTGGATTAGAACCAGCTGACATTAGCTTAGATCAAGTGGTGAAGAATTTCTCATAATATTGGACAAAATATATTTTTTTACATTATATTTTTTTTAAAATAATATATTAAATCTAATAAACTGTAGGATTACATTTTTGGCCTACCAGCTGATTACTTCAATGGCCAAATATTAGATTTATTTAAGCAAATGTATCAATCTGACTTTCAATAGTTATTTTAATTTTACTTCTAATGTTCACTATTAACATTATCTAAAATTAAACCAGACACTGAGATTTCACATAAAATTTATTTACCAATGGTTCACCATCATTGTAAAATAAAATAAAAAGTGATGCAGGTTTTATAAAGAATGTATTCACCAATAATCTACCTTGTATTCACCATTGACCTACTGTGTATTTACCCCTGACCTACCTTCTGAGATTCAGGTGGCAGACAGGCTATAGTTTTGGACAGTCTAGCCAGTGCACTGTGGGACAGGCCTCCGACTATTGCCATCAGGGTGTTGAAGTTTTGTAGCACACGAAGATGCTGTGGGCAAGTAAATAGTTATTACAGTGTTCAGGCCTATAATAAGTTATTACAGTGTTTAGGCCTATAATAAGGATAATGCAGAGTTCATTTGTGTCTCTCACCACTACAAAACTAGACATTGCCCAGCAGGCTTTATTTCCCCTAATAATGTCAGATACCTATCAGATCTAAATGTAATCATGCACATTTTATTTTAACCCAGATACAACTAAAGTTAGCTGTCATGGGCTCTTTATCATGTATTCCAAGTGACTAACATTAAAAAATATATATAATTTAAATAAATTTACAATTAAGTTCAAATCTCTGTAGCTAAACATACCTTAGAGACATCAATAAATTTACAAATAACATCAGATATCTGTAGCTTAACGTACCTTAGAGACATCAATAAATTTACAAATAACATCAAATCTTTATAGCTTAACGTACCTTAGAGACATCAATAAATTTACAAATAACATCAAATCTTTATAGCTTAACGTACCTTAGAGACATCAATAAATTTACAAATAACATCAGATATCTGTAGCTAAACGTACTTTAGAGACATCAATAAATTTACAAATAACATCAAATCTTTATAGCTTAACGTACCTTAGAGACATCAATAAATTTACAAATAACATCAGATATCTGTAGCTAAACGTACCTTAGAGACATCAATAAATTTACAAATAACATCAGATATCTGTAGCTAAACGTACCTTAGAGACATCAATAAATTTACAAATAACATCAGATATCTGTAGCTAAACGTACCTTAGAGACATCAATAAATTTACAAATAACATCAGATCTCTGTTGGGGGGTGGTCTTGCTGAGCACCATACACTGCACCCACTGAGACAAGCCGTTAAACAAAGCAATGGATCGCTCCAGTTTGGGTTGGTCTTTCAATGAGGCGGAGATGGCATAATTTTTGTAGTCTGAAAACTGTTTAAAAAAACACACACAAGTTATGTATTAATATCTTAGATCAAGCTATTCTCTGCATAATTTTTCTAGTCTAAAAATTCGTTACAAAACTATACACAAATTAAGGAATACATAATTAAGGAATACATAATGTCAAACTGCAAATGTAGCACCTAGCTCATGGTTATAAACCGCCAAGATTTAAATCAAATGCTTAACTGCTGATATAATAAAGTATCTTGGGGGCATAAGGTTACTGGTCACTTCATGCAGAGGCAAGTGTGGTGATGTAATAGGTATAAAAGGTGTATACGTGGGGCAGATCACTGCGTGTGTGTATGCATCCTGTAGCATCAACTCTGAGCTTACATGCACCCTCCTGAATGCCTTATATCAACTCTGAACTTACATGCACCCTCCTGAATGCCTTATATCAACTCTGAGCTTACATGCACCCTCCTGAATGCCTTATATCAACTCTGAACTTACATGCACCCTCCTGAATGCCTTATATCAACTCTGAGCTTACATGCACCCTCCTGAATGCCTTATATCAACTCTGAACTTACATGCACCCTCCTGAATGCCTTATACTCCAGATAGGTCAACTGGTTGGCCAGTTCCTTGGGCTCCAGGTGGTTGAAGACAAGAGACACCTTACGCGCAAGTTTTTTCTCTTGGGTGTTTCTGACAGACATGTTTCGCATCCAGTCATAAGATGGGCTGTAAAAATAGAGACAAGAAGAATTGCAATTTACATATGGAAGGGGACACAACTATTGACAAAACTGCCTTAGTTTAGTTAGTTGAGTGTTGCACTAGAACCGAGGTGAAAGCTTTAAACCAAGTCTAAAGCCTATCATTGCCTCACGTATTTTATACTTACTCTATAACTCTAAGCCCACATTCAGAATAATATTCTTTTTTTTTATTAACACGATTATTTTTTAAGTCCAACAAACCATTCAACAGTCTTAAATATTTTTTTTTTAAATGTGTGCAGCATCATGCAACATTAGCTCAATCAGGCACATTGATAAAAATTATAGGCTGGGAAACTCTACATCCTGGGAAAGTATATAGCCTATAGAAACTATAATCAAATTGTTACTCTTAAGTTAAAATCATACAGATGTTTAATTAAATTAGGTAGCTAACTCTAGCCCTCTCAGTCACGTGACAAAACAGCCACTCTCACACCCACTCCCTCAGTCACGTGAGACAACAAGGACTCACACTTTGGACACGTCGACCAGCTCCTTCAGCTTGTAGTTGCCCTCAGCCTGCAGCAATGAGCTCAGCTTCTTCACAGTGGTGGTCACACGTGGGTCCATGTCAAAGTGCAGGGGGAACTTGCCGATCCAGTACCTGGGGACAGTAGGTCAGTCGTCACATCGGGTGGTGTGGGTTGTTTGTGTACATGAGGTGGTTTAGTGTGTACACAAGGCGGGTTATTGTGTACTCAAGATGAGTCATTGTGTGATGGAGGTGGATTATTGTGTGCATCAGGTGGGTTAGGGTTATTGCGTACAAGTGACAGCATGAATGTGCTCAACTCGCACATGCAGTTGTGTAGTAATTGTGCTGGCAGTGTTTCTTCCAGACTTTTTTCTCCAAAGGGGGGGGGGGGAGGGGCACTTGAAATTTTCAGAGGGGGGGGGGGCGGGACTAAAATTTTTGGGGGTCGGACACTGTTAAAAGTATATATTTTCTATATAAATTTCATTTCGTTTGGGGGGGGGGGGGGAGGAGGAAGCAGAGCCCCCCCCCCCCCCCCCCCCCCCCCCCCCCAAACGAAAGAAACTGGAAGAAACTCTGCTCGCTGGGGTTAATAATAATATTTGAAAAGTAAAGCTTCGAGGGAGGAATTTAAGAATTACAAATGAGTTCTTGTAAGTAAGGGAGGCAACAATTGAATGGCATTTAATAAAACAAACGTGGACTCAAGCCGACAACCCGTGAATGTGATTACCTTCACCCTGTTAGGTTTAGGGTATTCGGGTTAGGTCAGAGAATAATTAACGTGACGACATGAATAGCCGCCGACAATCTGTGCCGTACCTGATTTAGGACGTCTTTAATTGAACGTCAGGTGTTTAATACCGTGCGGGATGGGGGGGGGGGGTGTACCAAACCAATCACATGTCATACGTGGTGACGGATAGGGTTCGAATGTCGTGCCGCCAACACGGGAACAAAGAGAGACGTTTGCGACAAGATTGTTCAAGTCCAATAATACCCCTAATACACGGCCCATTTTTTCTTCTTTATTCTACTACGTCCTAAATTTCTACAACACAATTAAGTATTACGTGTCAACGATATGCGCCGTCCATTTCTCAAAGTGGGGCTTTATGATTGCTCCACGAAGGTAGAGTGTAGTCTGAGTGTAGGCTAACAACTGTCAGACTACAGACCTAACTCAGTATGGAATACGTTATCTCAGTAAAAGGAAAGTAGCAGTGACGGTACCAGAACATTCGCCCCTCTGTCAATTACCCCCCGAACCCCCCCCCCCCGAGTAATTACCCCCCTGTCCATTCCCCCCCCCCATATATCTTACAGAACCCTAACCCAAAGCTCCAAAGTGTGTGTTAAAGCTGTACACACGTATATAATACTCTACTGCTCATACAAATGCTATGTGAGTGTGTACAGAAGATGTGAGTGTGTACAGAAGATGTGAGTGTGTACAGAAGATGTGAGTGTGTACAGAAGATGTGAGTGTGTACAGATTATGTGAGTGTGTACACAAGTTGTGAGTGTGTACAGAAGTTGTGAGTGTGTACAAAAGATGTGAGTGTGTACAGAAGATGTGTGTACAGAAGATGTGAGTGTGTACAGAAGATGTGAGTGTGTACAGAAGATGTGTGTACAGAAGTTATGAGTGTGTACAGAAGATGTGAGTGTGTACAGAAGTTGTGAGTGTGTACAAAAGATGTGAGTGTGTACAGAAGATGTGTGTACAGAAGTTATGAGTGTGTACAGAAGATGTGAGTGTGTACAGAAGATGTGAGTGTGTACAGAAGATGTGAGTGTGTACAGAAGTTGTGAGTGTGTACAGAAGTTGTGAGTGTGTACAGAAGATGTGAGTGTGTACAGAAGATGTGAGTGTGTACAGAAGTTGTGAGTGTGTACAGAAGTTGTGTGTACAGAAGTTGTGAGTGTGTACAGAAGTTGTGAGTGTGTACAGAAGATGTGAGTGTGTACAGAAGATGTGAGTGTGTACAGAAGATTTGAGTGTGTACAGAAGATGTGAGTGTGTACAGACGAGTGTACAGAAGATGATTGTCAAGGTCTGGCGTATTTTACCGCTGCAACAAGTGGGCAAACAACAACAAACCCGTGCTATAAATAGCACCAGCTAGAAAAGAGAGGCCAGCTCGAGACGGATCAATATGTCCGTTATTAAACAGCAGGGGCTCCGGGGCGGGGCGTGGATGGAGAGGACGGTGGACGGGGGGGGGGGAGAGAAACAACCCGGAGCATAGTCTCAAAAATAGACGAGCATTGCGCGGCTTCGGGTCGGGAGAGCAACAGATTATGCGACGTTTGATAACAGCAACCAGTCGGCTTTGTTTCGTCACATTTTCCGCGCTACGTCCTAGTTTTTATTTCTTGGTGCTCATTCGAATCATGCTAGCATCGAATCTGTGTTTTTATTTTACCAATATCGCTAGCCATACCTTAACAGTAGCCCTAACCCCATGTCAGACTCCTGAAAATAATATACGTAACTGACCCTTACTCAAACAGCGATATCGATATAACAATAAATCTTGGTACGATACTCTATTTTTCTACCAGCGCTGTAATCGGACCCGAGGTTTTCTAGGCACGCGCAAGCAGTCAGCTGACTTCGCCCTGTGTTCTACCGGACTTTTTTAGGGCACATGAAGTAGAATTTTCTGTGTCCGATATATGAAGGTTTAAACTGTCCAGCCGCTAATTTCTTTCCCTAACGTGAGTCAGGTACCCACAACAGCTGGTTAAATTAAGTGACATCCTACGAACTCTAATCTTGGAAACGACCTGGAGACTTATGGGTAAACAATTGAACGTTAAATTTCACAACTCTATCGTCTTAGGTTTACAATTGGGCCCACAAAAATATTTGCCTAGATTTTTATTCCAGGACCCCATGTTTTAAAGCAGCTCCAGCTAATTAAGAGTGCAACATGTCGTGTATGTACTGATTAATCATGGAGGTACAGAAACAACAAGTGTTTGCAAGTTCAATGAATATCACGTATGTCATATGAATTGTTAATTTAATCAATTAAAAAACCTTTTATGGTATTTCAAACTACGAAAACAAAATTTACAAGTTTTGGAAAACAACAAAATGTGTACTATTAATAACAAACATTTCCAGAGGAAAAAAAACAAGCACACAAACACGTTATAAAAATAAAATAAATGTCAAACTTTTAACTGCCATAACTATGTCGAAAGTATTAGTGAAATAATTAGTTTTAAAAATAGAGTTATTAACCATAAAACTTGGATTTAAATAACTATTAGGCTATTTGGTTACAGTTTATTGCTGGATTAGTGTAATCCTGATATGGTGTCAGTATGTTAGTGGGTCAACCCCAACTCGACAGCTGGTTTGGCTGTTCGGGGGAGAAAAACCTGGACAAGTAAGTTCAAAACTGGGACGGGAAAAATATTTAATTGTTATGGTGAGCGATATGTGGGTTTATGGGTAAAAGGCTATATTCTCCGTCATTTTCATAAAATAGAATTCTAAATGGTGTAGGCTTAGGGAGAAGACTAGTCCGTGCCTCCCCTAACACTATTCCGCACATCCCTTAGCACTAGTCCACACCTCCCCCAATACGCATTTACTATGGAAACAGCCTGGAAAACAGCATCACTCACCTGACATACAGCATCACTCACCTGTCATACAGCATCACTCACCTGACATACAACATCACTCACCTGACATACAGCACCACTCACCTGACATACAATATCACCTACCTGACAGCCTGACAAATCATCTTTTTGAAGTTCTGGATAGCACAGTCCGTGTTGATGGGCAGATGTTGACAAGCCACCATCGTACACGTCACAGTTTCGTCACAACCTTGATAACTGGGTCACAGTTAAGTCTCCATGTTATGGTGCTATTGATGCTACTTGTATGTATGAATATGTTACTTTGATGTTCAACAAGCTCCATAACAACCGATCACTACTTTACTCGGGACTGTTCATAAACTGCATCATTACCCGGTTTTATATCTAAAGCTAGGGTACCTTGAGAAATACGGGCTCACTAACAGTGTTAGCATCCATTTCTAAAGACCTGAGACTTGTTGAAGTACCGCGGGTCACCCAATACCCCAGCATCCACACGGGTCACCCAATATCCCAGCATCCACACGGGTCACCCAATACCCAAGCATCCAGTTCTAAAGACCTGAGAACTATTGACGTACCGCGGGTCACCCAATATCCCAGTACCCACACGGGTCACCCAATATCCCAGCATCCACACAGGTCACCCAATATCCCAGCATCCACACGGGTCACCCAATATCCCAGCATCCACACGGGTCACCCAATATCCCAGCATCCACACGGGTCACCCAATATCCCAGCATCCACACGGGTCACCCAATATCCCAGCATCCACACGGGTCACCCAATATACCAGCATCCACACGGGTCACCCAATATCCCAGCTTCTATTTGTAAAGGATACAGATCGATAAAGGCCTGGGCCAGTTCCTCTGACGTCATGAACCACTGGTGCATGAGGAAAAAGACGGTCACAAACTCCTCCTGATTCTTGTCCAGCCCCTTCTCGGCTGAAATAGAGGAGAGAGGAAAAGGAAATCTTCATTAACAAAGTCCAGAAATAGACAGACTTAAGCGGGTCATTGAAAAGCGGTTCGAAGTTGTTTAATTTACATTCGGGGGACTAGGATAAATCAATCCAAAGGCAATATGATTAAATATTTTATAAAAGAAAATTTAGTTGTTTTTGTTTTATTGCATAGATCAACAAAAGTTTCCTAAACTTATTTGTGATGTGTTCCTAGATTTAAACGTATGATCGTTTCTTTTTATAAAAAATAAAGTTTTAATTTTGACCCAAAAGTTCAGTCAAGCGAGACCGGATGCAGAATAGCACAGCAGCACAAAAATACTGGATTGGGAAATATTGAGCAACGAAATAAATACATCTTAATCGAAGTCAGTTTCCTTGTTGTTTTTTTTTAGAGGGCATCTAAATACCAATGCTTCTGTTAAACTAATAACACGAACATAGAGACCCATACGTTAACACGAACATAGAGACCCATACGTTCTACTTGCTAAGTGAACTTTGAGGTCCGTATATTTGCACTCAAGGTGAACGTCGCAATCTGTATACATAATATGTTTAGAGAATTTCAAGGTCCTTACCGTGTTTTTATCGAATACCCTCCAATACAGGATGCTACTGAATTTACCCCCCCCCCCCCCTTTTCCACTTTCCACCCTAAGCCTGCGTGCCGTGAAACTAGCAACAATAGTTATACAAATTGACCTATCAAATACACGCCAGTTTAGAGATCTACGGACAGTCCAAAATGACATATAATCTTCACCCCCCTCCCCCAGTTGAGGTCTACGGACCATGGAGAATAAATTTTAAACAAATATGCGACCAGCTATAAATGACCCGTACAAAACTATAAGGAAGCTACTTCAATAAGGATCGGTAATAGAGTGTGACGCACTTTTATTCCAAGCCAGTATAATTTTTTTTTAAAACTGTTTTGATGTCCTTGTGGTGCGCTGAAGAAATCGTGTTTTTTTTTACTGTTTATATAATAATGCCGAAGACAAGCGTGTAAGCACTGTGTAACCCAGATAATGAACATCCAAATTTTAACTTTTCAACTTTCGTACACATGGTATAACTAAAATAAGACTCGGGTTACGAAAGGGGATTCGATTTACGAACTAAATCGAAATTCTCATTGGCAAAGTTATAAAAATAAATAGATAACGGTATTTTTATTCCATACTCGAAGTTGTCCCCGTACTGTGATAATGACCCTATGTTAATTGATCGCGTGTTATAGTTTATAAACCCGTTGTCCTCATTTTCATTTATTGTACGGGGTACTGTAAGACCATACACATATGATATTGTATGGGGTACTGTAAGACCATACACATATGATATTGTATGGGGTACTGTAAGACCATACACATATGATATTGTATGGGGTACTGTAAGACCATACACATATGATATTGTATGGGTTACTGTAAGACCATACACATATTATATTGTATGGGTTACTGTAAGACCATACACATATGATATTGTATGGGGTACTGTAAGACCATACACATATGATATTGTATGGGGTACTGTAAGACCATACACATATGATATTGTATGGGGTACTGTAAGACCATACACATATGATATTGTATGGGGTACTGTAAGACCATACACATATGATATTGTATGGGTTACTGTAAGACCATACACATATTATATTGTATGGGTTACTGTAAGACCATACACATATGATATTGTATGGGGTACTGTAAGACCATACACATATGATATTGTATGGGGTACTGTAAGACCATACACATATGATATTGTATGGGGTACTGTAAGACCATACACATATGATATTGTATGGGGTACTGTAAGACCATACACATATGATATTGTATGGGGTACTGTAAGACCATACACATATTATATTGTATGGGTTACTGTAAGACCATACACATATGATATTGTATGGGGTACAGTAAAACCATACAGATATGGTACTGTAAGACCATACACATATTGTATGGGGTACTGTAAGACCATACACATATTGTATGGGGTACTGTAAGACCATACACATATTGTATGGGGTACTGTAAGACCATACACATATTGTTTGTACTGTAAAACCATACACATATGATACTGTATGGGGTACTGTAAGACCATACACATATGATATTGTATGGGGTACTGTAAGACCATACAACATACAAGTCATATACTCACTGAAAGACTCCACACACATCTGTATCAGCCGCTCGGGGGTGGCCGCCCGCACCACCGCCCCAGCCACCGTGGGCCCGACCCCCGACACCACAGACGCAGCCCGCTGTTCGTCTTCAATAAGCCCAGGGGGTCCCATGGGGGTCGGGGGTGGGGCGGGCTGTTGCTGCTGGACTGTCTGTGTAGCGACTGGGGCCGGGGGAGGTGGGGGGCTAGAGGCAGTTGACGGGACGGGGGTGGGCGAGATGGAGGACGTGGGGGTGGGGGGAGGTGGGGGAGGGGTGGCCGTGGTGACAGCCGGGGTCGGGCCAGGGCGGTGCCCGGGGGAGTCCACCTCCTGCATTAGGGACGGGCTGAGGAAGCGTACAGCCGCATTGCCCTCAAGTCATTCTTGATGCGATCTGGGGAGAGAGAGAGAAGCATTGGGGCATCAACATCATACATACAGACAGACGGACCGACGGACAGACGGAAAGACAGACGGACAGACAGACAGACAGACAGACAGACAGACAGACAGACAGACAGACAGACAGACAGACAGACAGACAGACAGACAGACAGACAGACAGACAGACAGACAGACAGACAGACAGACAGACAGATAAGAATTGCTGCATCATCTGATACCTATACAGTTAACTAGGTATAATGCTATCTTTGACAAGCTTTGCTATCAACTCTAACAGAAAAGTTAAAAAAAATTAATTAATTCATAAAAAAATTAATTAGGCATCCAATTAAGTCAAATTTAATTTCAGATTGCATTGTCTTCATGTCTTGACCCACGCACCAATTACGAACCGTATCTGTCAAGTAGAAGTGTCCGAATTTTCGCTCGAGCGTTTCGATCTAGACTATTCTAGACAGACAGACAGACTGACGACAGACTGACGAGGAAGCAAGTAAAATAAAAGCTTGTAAAAAGTCTTGGGTCAGTTACTTCATTGATGTTTGAAATAAAGAGGGGAGTTAGAAAGTTAGGAGAGAGTGACTTGATTTTGGAAGTTGTAATACCAAGGTGAAGGTTGTAATATGAAAGTGCAGGTTGTAATACCAAGGCCAACACTACTATACTATGTGGAGTGTAAATCTGGGAGATGTTGTTTTTGTTTCATAATATAGAGTAAAGTGAGATGTGTGGTTGTTGTCGCTGATGAGAGGGGGACGGCGTGGTCTAGCGATAGAATATGCACTTGCCCGAACTTCACGAGTTCAGAACCTGGGATAAATACTTGGTTGCAACCCACTGGTCTAGTAGCTGGTAACATGGGCGAGAGCTGTTCGAGAGATGTTCGATTCTTAATCTTGTTCTAGTCAGTCTAGGTAATATGAGCGCTGGTTGAGACTGTTATGACCGGACACATTTCGACTTCGTAGGTGGATTACAGAACAGTTAACCGTAGTAGATTACAGAACAGTTAACCGTAGTGGGTTACAGAACAGTTAACCGTAGTAGATTACAGAACAGTTAACCGTAGTAGATTACAGAACAGTTAACCGTAGTAGATTACAGAACAGTTAACCGTAGTGGGTTACAGAACAGTTAACCGTAGTAGATTACAGAACAGTTAAACGTAGTAGATTACAGAACAATTAACCGTAGTAGATTACAGAACAGTTAACCGTAGTGGGTTACAGAACAGTTAACCGTAGTAGATTACAGAACAGTTAACCGTAGTAGATTACAGAACAGTTAACCGTAGTAGATTACAGAACAGTTAACCGTAGTAGATTACAGAACAGTTAACCGTAGTGGGTTACAGAACAGTTAACCGTAGTAGATTACAGAACAGTTAACCGTAGTGGGTTACAGAACAATTAACCGTAGTGGGTTACAGAACAGTTAACCGTAGTAGATTACAGAACAGTTAACCGTAGTAGATTACAGAACAGTTAACCGTAGTAGATTACAGAACAGTTAACCGTAGTGGGTTACAGAACAGTTAACCGTAGTAGATTACAGAACAGTTAACCGTAGTAGATTACAGAACAGTTAACCGTAGTAGATTACAGAACAGTTAACCGTAGTGGGTTACAGAACAGTTAACCGTAGTAGATTACAGAACAGTTAACCGTAGTAGATTACAGAACAGTTAACCGTAGTAGATTACAGAACAGTTAACCGTAGTGGGTTACAGAACAGTTAACCGTAGTAGATTACAGAACAGTTAACCGTAGTGGGTTACAGAACAGTTAACCGTAGTAGATTACAGAACAGTTAACCGTAGTAGATTACAGAACAGTTAACCGTAGTAGATTACAGAACAGTTAACCGTAGTAGATTACAGAACAGTTAACCGTAGTAGATTACAGAACAGTTAACCGTAGTGGGTTACAAAACAGTTAACCGTAATGGATTACGGATTAAGTACAGTTAACCGTAGTGGATTACAGAACAGTTAACCGTAGTGGATTACAGAACAGTTAACCGTAGTGGATTACGGATTACATTGCAGTTAACCGTGGCGGATTACAGTGGATTATAACCGCACAGACAACATTGGTAGCTAAGATAAGTAAGCTGTACGATGAATTTTCTAGAAAGTCCGTGTGGCCCACACAGCTAAACCCCACGGATTGATTGAAGCAGACATCATCTCGAAGTTGGGCATTCTGCTGACTGACATTTGATTCAAGTATTGACACAAACGCTGACCTTCCTTACAAATTCTAGGTTTTGGCATTTGACTGAACATGAACTATTCCAAACCCTAACCATAAACGGGTAAGATTGGTAAGATTGTTGATTATTGGGGGAGCAAATTAGAGGCCTTCAGTCCCACAAAACAAAACAGTAGGATACATAGACATTCTCTCCTCACAGGCTGAGCGACAAAATACACCCCTATAAATACGCATTTTTGCAATACATACTATGAGCCCACTACACCGACAACAAGCCCACTACACCTATTACAAGCCAATAACGCCGATTATAAGCCTACTACATCGACTTCAAGCTCACTACACCGACTACAAGCCCACCGATTAGCCGTCTGATTGTGACCTCTGTAATGGACACGACCACTGAAATTGTCAAAACACCAACAGCTCACCCATCACGTCAAAACACCAACAGCTCACCCATCACGTCTTGTCAAAACACCAACAGCTCACCCATCACACCTTGTCAAAACACCAACAGCTCATCCATCACGTCAAAACACCAACAGCTCATCCATCACGTCTTGTCAAAACACCAACAGCTCATCCATCACACCTTGTCAAAACACCAACAGCTCACACATCACACCTTGTCAAAACACCAACAGCTCATCCATCACGTCAAAACACCAACAGCTCACACATCACATCTTGTCAAAACACCAACAGCTCACCCATCACGTCAAAACACCAACAGCTCATCCATCACGCCTTGTCAAAACACCAACAGCTCATCCATCACGTCAAAACACCAACAGCTCATCCATTACGCCTTGTCAAAACACCAACAGCTCACACATCACATCTTGTCAAAACACCAACAGCTCATCCATTACGCCTTGTCAAAACACCAACAGCTCACACATCACACCTTGTCAAAACACCAACAGCTCATCCATCACGTCAAAACACCAACAGCTCATCCATCACGTCTTGTCAAAACACCAACAGCTCACACATCACACCTTGTCAAAACACCAACAGCTCACCCATCACGTCAAAACACCAACAGCTCATCCATCACGCCTTGTCAAAACACCAACAGCTCATCCATCACGTCAAAACACCAACAGCTCATCCATTACGCCTTGTCAAAACACCAACAGCTCACACATCACATCTTGTCAAAACACCAACAGCTCATCCATTACGCCTTGTCAAAACACCAACAGCTCACACATCACACCTTGTCAAAACACCAACAGCTCATCCATCACGTCAAAACACCAACAGCTCATCCATCACGTCTTGTCAAAACACCAACAGCTCACACATCACACCTTGTCAAAACACCAACAGCTCACCCATCACGTCAAAACACCAACAGCTCATCCATCACGCCTTGTCAAAACACCAACAGCTCACACATCACACCTTGTCAAAACACCAACAGCTCACCCATCACGTCAAAACACCAACAGCTCATCCATCACGTCAAAACACCAACAGCTCACCCATCACGTCTTGTCAAAACACCAACAGCTCACCCTTCACGTCAAAACACCAACAGCTCACCCATCACGTCAAAACACCAACAGCTCACACATCACGTCTTGTCAAAACACCAACAGCTCATCCATCACGTCTTGTCAAAACACCAACAGCTCACCCATCACACCTTGTCAAAACACCAACAGCTCATCCATCACGTCAAAACACCAACAGCTCATCCATCACACCTTGTCAAAACACCAACATGCTCACACATCACACCTTGTCAAAACACCAACAGCTCATCCATCACGTCAAAACACCAACAGCTCATCCATCACGTCTTGTCAAAACACCAACAGCTCACACATCACACCTTGTCAAAACACCAACAGCTCACCCATCACGTCAAAACACCAACAGCTCACCCATCACGTCTTGTCAAAACACCAACAGCTCACCCTTCACGTCAAAACACCAACAGCTCACCCATCACGTCAAAACACCAACAGCTCACCCATCACGTCAAAACACCAACAGCTCACCCATCACGTCAAAACACCAACAGCTCACCCATCACGTCAAAACACCAACAGCTCATCCATCACGTCAAAACACCAACAGCTCATCCATCACACCTTGTCAAAACACCAACAGCTCACCCATCACGTCAAAACACCAACAGCTCACACATCACATCTTGTCAAAACACCAACAGCTCATCCATCACGTCTTGTCAAAACACCAACAGCTCACCCATCACACCTTGTCAAAACACCAACAGCTCACACATCACACCTTGTCAAAACACCAACAGCTCATCCATCACGTCAAAACACCAACAGCTCACACATCACATCTTGTCAAAACACCAACAGCTCACCCATCACGTCAAAACACCAACAGCTCACCCATCACGTCTTGTCAAAACACCAACAGCTCATCCATCACATCAAAACACCAACAGCTCATCCATCACATCAAAACACCAACAGCTCATCCATCACGTCAAAACACCAACAGCTGACCCATCACGTCAAAACACCAACAGCTCATCCATCACGTCTTGTCAAAACACCAACAGCTCACCCATCACACCTTGTCAAAACACCAACAGCTCATCCATCACATCAAAACACCAACAGCTCACCCATCACACCTTGTCAAAACACCAACAGCTCACCCATCACGCCTTGTCAAAACACCAACAGCTCATCCATCACGTCAAAACATCAACAGCTCACCCATCACACCTTGTCAAAACACCAACAGCTCACCCATCACGTGAAAACACCAACAGCTC